CCGAGCCCCGCCCCGTGTCTCACAACATTGCCACAGCGCTGCCCACTTCCCGAGCAGGGTGATGTGTACCTTTTTTTTTTTTTTTTTTTTAAAGAATTATTCTGGGACCAGCAGGTGGCGTAATGGTTCCATCACTGGACTCTCACATAGGTGACCGTGGTTTGAGTCCTGGCCCTGGGGGGTTAAAACTTAAACCAGGCGTGTGTGTGTGTGTATGCCCAAGATCCTGAGAGGAGAATGGAGAAGGGGTCACCCCCCCCAGGAGGTGATTTCTTGCTTTCTGTCTCTCCAGCAAGCACATGTACCCCGTAGCAAAAATCTCTCTCTCAAAGAAAAAAGTGCTTTCTTATAGAACTATTTTTTTAAAATGTAAAACTAAGCAAACTTAATAAACCCAGTATATTTTGTTCTTACAAAATGTAAAAACTAGGGACCAGCAGTTAGCCTAATGGCTATGTTGCTGGACTCCCATGTAGTCGACCACAGTTTGATTCCCAGACCCAGCGGCTAAAACTCATGCCGGACATGTGTGTGTGTGTGCTCAAAATCCTTAGAGGAGAATGGAGGAGAAGGGATTGCGGCGAGGCCATCCCCCTGAGGGGTGATTTCTCACTTTCTGTCTCTCTCTCTTTCTAGAAGTCTCTCTGTGAGTGCACATGCCCTATAGCAAAAATCTCTCCAAAAAAAGGAACAAGAAAAAAAAAAGTATTATTCTTATTTTAAAATTTCACCAGTGAAAGGGAAAGTGAGAAAGCACGCTGCCAGGTCCAGGACTTGAACCATGGTCAAGCCATGTGGAAGTCCAGCTCCTCAACCACTACACCACCTGCCATTCCCCTAGTTTATTTATGTATTTTTCAGTAATTATTTCTAATTCTAATTTTTGTTTATTTATTTTTAATTTCACCAGCGAGGGACAGAGCGAGAGTGAGTGAGTGCGAGAGAGAGAGAGAGAGAGTGAGAAAGCAAGACTCCACATCTGGAACTCGAACCGCGGTGGACCATGTGGGAATCCAGCGCCCTTAACCACCACACCACCCGTTGGCCCATTTAGGTTTATCTTTAAGGGTTCATTTATTTTGTTTTCCGGTTACAGTTTACTCACCTGGTCATCCCTTCCAAGTATGCACTGTGCTGTTCTAGCCGCTCTGCCTCCGTTTCTCCGTCTGTCCCAGCTGTGAGAGACTGTCTCAGAGATCTTCCCTCAGAATCCTCACACCTGGCTAGGTCCGGCTCAGTGTATGATTTCCCAGAGCAACCAGCAGGGGGCGCCCCAGGACTGACGACAGTCTGTCGTGGCCCAGGTGGAAGCTGTCCACTGAGCCACATTCCTGCCCATTCCTTCCACGCCGGCTTCTCATGCCCCACGGCGGTGCGGTGTCAAGAGAGAAGAAGCCGGAGTCATAGGGGCACACGCCATCCAGACCCCCTGTCCGCTGGGCTCTGAGTGAGCGCCCAGCTGCTGCCAACTCCATGTGGAAACGGGCCTCGTCGTATGGCCAGGTGTGCTGGGGAGAGACTTCTGATGCTGGAACTGAGGATGCTGTGTCGTTCCCCCCCACCACCCCAGAGATTTTTGTTATAGGGCACATGTGCTGGCCACAGAGACAGAGAGACAGAGACAGAAAACAACTCTCAGGGGAGATGGCCATGCAGCAATCCCTCCCCCCCATTCTCCTCTTGGGATTTTGAGCATGCACGTACACGTGCCCGGCGTGAGTCTTAAGCCGCCACCAGGCATAAGTCTTAAAATGCCTAGTCTGGGGCTCGAACTCCAGGCAACTACGTGGGAGTCCAACGATGTTACCATTATGCCATCTGCTGGTCCCAAGGCTACTACAGTTATGATCCTGGTCATTTTGAGGTGCAGGGGACATTCCTAGAGCCAAGCATCTGGGTTAGAGAGAAATTGGGGGTGGGGGAGGCTGGCTGTGTCCAGTGGGAGCTGAAGTCATGCTGGCTGTCCCCCTAGCAGAGGGGCTGCTGGAGGAGGAAAGTAGGTCCTTTCCTTTAACTGCTACACCCTGTCCCTCTTTGGCAGTCACCCCTGGAACCCAGCTGCCTGGGAAGTGGTGCAAAGCACCCTTCTGCTCCTCCAGGCTGGAAGGAGAGGCAGGGCCTCCCTTTCTCGCCTGCCCTCAGGACAGGTGCACCAGGGCCCCCAGGCATGTCCCGCGCAGGACAGTCTTTGGCGGGCTGGACTTAGTGGGGGTGATGCCCACCAACGGGGAAACTGTCCACTTGGTTCCCAGCCCGTGCCACCTGCCAGATGCCTCCTGGCCTCTCTCCTTCCCATCCACCTCCGCCTCCAGTGAGAGAGCCTTCCCCTGCCTGACCCAGTCCAGCCTGGCCAAGTCCCAGTGGCTCGCCTTGAACTCTCTGGGCAAGTGGCCTTTCTTAGCCTTCTCCACGAGGTTTTCCTGATATTCCTAAGCACTCCAAGACAGCCATTACGAGTGGAATGATGAAAGGGCTCAGGTCCTCCCGGTGGCACGTGCTGGGCTGAACCAGTTGGCGCCTGGCCGAGGACAACCTCTGTATGGAACCCTTTGGGCTTGTCTCTGGGAGGCCCCTGGCCTTCATGTACAGTGAGGGCCACCCTGGCCCCTGTGCCAGTGGGGCCTGCATGCCCGTGCCCACTTGTCCTGGACAGCTAGCATTGGAAACAGGGAGCCAGGGCCTGCGGGTGTGCTGAGGGTCCTCGGGTAGACAGGCGTGGATGGGTGGAGCACAGCCTCACGTCACTTGTCACTTTGTGGGATGCTGGGAAGTCATCCCTTCTCAGGGTCTCTGCTTCCCTTTCTGTAAAATAGAATCCAGAACCTCGGCTTTTTTCTTTGTTTAAGAGGTTTTTACCTTAGGGCGTAGGTACTCACCAGATAGAGAGAGAGGGAGAGAGAGAGACAGAGACAGTGAGAGGGAAAGTGAGGAATCACCCCCAAGGGGAATGGCCACGCTACAATCTATTCCCCTCCATTCTCCTCCCGGAATCCTGGGCACACACACCTGGTGTGATTTTCAAGCCACCGGGTCTGGGACCCAAACTGTGGTCAGCCATGTGGGAGTCCCATGCCACGCCATCTGCTGGTCCCAGAACCTCGGCTTTCCAGGAGTGTGGCTGGCAGTGAGCAGTGGCTGAGGGAAGCTGGGGTCACAGTGACCACTGTCACTGCCTTACTGCACCACCTCAGTGACCACACAGGCTACGGGGGAGGGTGGCGGCCCACAGGGCTGTGTCCTGGGTGCTGTCCCCAGCTCCTATGGCCGGCTCTTGTCTTGCCTCACTTGTCCCCTGCAACCCCTGTGGTTGTTTCCCTGTGATTCCAGTCTGATGCAGTAGGCTTCTCCTGGACCCTCCCAGCTCTGGTGGGGTGCTTTCCTCGAGGTGTAGTGGGGGAAAGAGGGCTTCCAAAAGGCTCGAGGTGGATCTGCGCTGGACCCCGAGGGATGGGTGGACCTCAGTGTGAGCAGAGGGGGCGCACAAGTGAGAGGAAGACCGAGCACAGAGGAACCGCAAGAGCTGGATCCCCAAGAGCTCGGAGGCCAGCTAGGAGGTAGTGCGGGGCTGCAGGGGTACAGGTTCACCCGCAGCCTGCCAGGACCCAGAGACGTGAGCGCTGCCTGGGCTCCGGAAACCAGGAGGAGGCTGTCCTGGGTCCTTGCACACATCAGGAAAGCTGGCAAAGCCGCCTCTCTTTCCTTTAGATACGTGTTTTTTCTTTTTTTTTTTTGAGAGGTTTTTGCTATAGGGCACGTGCACTCGCCAGACAGACAGAGAGAGACAGAGAGACAGAAAGTGAGAAATCACCCCCTGGGGGGGATGGTCACGCCGCAATCCCTCCTCCTCCATTCTCCTCTCGGGATCTTGGGCACGCACGCACACACGCCCGGCGTGAGTTTAAGCCACCAGGTCCGGACTCGAACCGCGGTCGACTACCTGGGAGCCCAGTGACGTAGCCATTACGCTAACTGCTAGTCCCTAGATGTGTTTTTAGGTTAAAAATGCAGGTGGTGAAATCAGTATTCTTTTCTGTTGGCATTAAAAGCACAAACTAAGCGTCAAGGGTCATTATTTCTTCTTAAACGAAAGTCCCTTTGGGTTCCCGCTGTTCGTCAATGTGGGGAGGTGCGAAGGGAACCCCCAATCCCCCATTGCACTCAGGTGGGGACAGGGTGGCGAGAGAGCTAGGTCCCTGTGTGTGAGCACATGCGTCTACACACATGGGCACGTGTTCGTGTGCACACGTACGTGTGTGTCTGCACCCCCACTCAGGACTTTGCTTGAGGTCCTGTTTGAGGAGGGGGCTGCAGGCTGGCTCTGTGCTTGTGGTGGGTTCCTCCTGGCCTGGCCTGGCACATGGCCGCCCAGGGGCAGGGTGGAGTGAGGACCCAGGCCACAGGAAGGCTCCGGACCCGACCCGTATCCCTTCTCCAGTGAGGCAGCCCCTCTGCCTGGTGGATCCTTGCTTGACCTCCTGATATCAACCTGGGCACTTTTTCTCAACAAAGGGGTCGCCGCTGGCAACCCGCAGAGGTGGAGCGTGTTAAAGGGTTTCGCAAGGAGCGTGCTGTGTCCTGTTCTCCGCGGACACCTGCTGAACTCTCACCTTACTATTATTTTTTAAAGATTTTTGTCATAGGGTGCATGCACTCACTGGAGAGAGAGACGGAGAGAGGGAAAGTGAGAACTCCTCCTCCTCCTCCACGCCCCTCTGGGGATTTTGGACACACACATGCACCTGGCATGTTCTTCAAGCCACCAAGTCTGGGAGTCGAACTGTGGAGTTGACCATGTGGGAGTCCAGGGCCTTAACCACTACACCACCTGCTGACCCCTATTGTCTTTTCTGGACATTCGTTTGACCAAGGGATTTTACTGAACTGTGTGGAGGGGGGGGCGGAAGTTACCCTCCCCACGAACGGCGTCCCCTGCCGCCCTCCCAAGATGGCACCGAGGTCAGCCACATGTGACACACACAGCACGCTGGGACGAGGCTCGGCTCCATTCAGGGTATTTTATTTTCTTAAAGTAGACAATCTTTGACTTCCGGACGATCAGCAGCTCCTCCCTCCCTGTACATCCGGTCAAGTCCTTGGCTGTGATTCTGCACACTGACCTTGGACGCGAGGGTACCGAACAAGGGTGAGAGAGGAGGAGATTTGGCAAGGGTTCTGGGGCTGCCTCCCCCCTCGTCGGTGGGGGTGCGTATTTACACGTGGCCCTCATGAAGGTCCTTTCGCGGTGGGAGCCCACAGACCCTGGGGCAGGAAGGCCCAGGGCACGGTCCCCACAGGGCCAACCTCAGGCCACAACGCTGGCTGCGCCTTCACGGGAGTCAGAGCTCCTCCCAGCCCATCTCAGGCACAGGGCGTGGGGGCCAGGGGCCATCTCTCGCCTCCCCCTTCTTGCACTCAGCAAAGCCACAAATAATTTACTCTTTAAATACCAAGACATTTAGCTATTGTTCATTCGCTCCTAGGTGAAGGACCTTCTTTAAATACATCACATTTATTTTCTTAAATAAAAACAAAGCAAAAAACCCGCACCAATGACAAGAGGACACTGCAGAGGCTTATGTACAACGCGTGTCCTGTGGGGCTGATGCAGGACTTGCCATTTGCCCCCAAAATTCTTTGGAACAGAGGGACAGAATCACCCAGATATACAACTGTGAACACTCAGCAAGCCAGACACAAAGAAGGACCACCTGAAAAAAAAACAAAATATGTTTGGAAAATCTGCATTTTAAAAAAGAATACTCAACTGCATTGGAAATTTTCTGTATTTTTCTTTTTCTGCGAAACACCACGAGATTTGGCCAAAAAAAACAAAAACAAAAACAAAAACAAAAAAACAGAAAAAAAAAAGAAGAAAAAAAAGGATGTCAGAGAAGAAAAACCAGGTTTTGACTTAGAAAACATCAGACCTAGTGGAAGAGAAGCTGGAAACCCAGCTGGTCTCGTTGGAAACACTCGTTAGCATTGTGTGGGTTTTTGCTGCATATTTTGAAGCCGTTTAAAAAGAGCCGTGAGCGGCTGGAAGTCTGGTTAGTGCTGTCACCCGGCTCCTAAGGTCCCAGGTCCGGAACCAGCACAGCGCAGTGCAGCTGTGGGTGGGCCGTGGGGGGTGCGGCCAGCAGGGAAAGTATCTGGACCCTGCGTTGGTGCTTCCTGCCCCCGTCAGTGGCAAGGTCCCCAGTGTGGAGCTCAGGCGACGAGCGGACTCTCCTCCAGCCGACAAGGGCTCAGCTGGCCTGATCTGGCCCCAGCTGGCCGCCTCTCCTCAGTGGTCCAACGTGGACCCCCATGCAGAGTGAGGCCAACTCAAGAAGGCAAAGTGGAGGGACAGGACGGGCTCGGAGTGAACTTGGGACAGCTTCTCAAGACTTCAAGAGACCTCGGAGAACTCTATCTGCAGACGAGTGTGTGCGTGTGTGCGTGCGTGTGTGTGTCTACCTACCTAGCAATCTATCCATATATATGTTTGCGGGAACGTGGGGCCGAGGAGGCAGAGGCCGAGGGGCGGGGGGACGTTCTTCATAGGCCCCCCTTTTTCTGCCCCTGGGTTGGGCCTCTCTAGCACGAGTCGGGGTGTGGCACCCCGCGGGTTTCATCAGACAGGCGGGCGCGGGCCCGGCTCCTCAGCAAAGGCCAATGTACTTGAGATTGTTCTGTATGATGACGTCTGTGACCGCGTCAAAGACGAACTGGATGTTACTGGTGTCGGTGGCGCAGGTGAAGTGCGAGTAGATCTCCTTGGTCTCCTTGTTGCGGTTCAGGTCCTCGAACTGCCGCTGGATGTACACGGCGGCCTCCTCGTACGTGTTCTGGCCCTTGTACTCGGGGAAGCAGACCGTGAGCGGGATGCGCCGGATCTTCTCGGCCAGCAGGTCCTTCTTGTTCAGGAAGAGGATGAGCGAGGTGTTGATGAACCAGTTGTTGTTGCAGATGGAGTCGAAAAGGCGCAGGCTCTCCGCCATCCGACTCTGGGGGGGAAGAAGGGACTGGTGTTCATCAGGACACGTAGCTGGCGACTGCCACCCCACGGCAGTCTCCCAGCCCAGGGCTGGCCCAACCCCCCACTTGCGTTAGAAAATCCATCTTCGTTCAGGCCAAATCTTTTTTTTTTTTTTTGGAGAGTTTTTTGCTATAGGGCACGTGTGCTCGCTAGAAATAGAGACAGGAAGCAAGAAATCAACCCCCGCCCAGGGGGAATGGCCACGCCACAATCCCTTCTCCTCTATTCTCTTGGGATCTTGGGCATGCACGCACACACGCCCGGCGTGAGTTTAAGCCACTGGGTCTGGGACTCGAACTGCGGTCGACTACATGGGAGTCCAGTGACATAGCCATTACGCCAACTGCTGATCTCGCCAAATCTGTCTTCTCCTACCTCCTGTGGAAAGAGGTGACACCAGCTTCCTTCTCCTGAGAACTCAGCACTCCTGCCCCTTTTGGGTCTCTCCCTTGGGTGCTGGTGGCCAGTGATCTCAGCATGGGGCTTCAGGGCTGCCATTGTGCCCGGGGCCCGGGCCCCTCTACTCCTTTTAGAGCTGAGGTTTGTATTTAAGGACTTTTCTTACCACACCTGGGCAAATTCCTGACACCCATCCCCAGCCTGCCCGACACACACGCACAGATCAAATCTACCAGCTCACGTCTCCCATGACACATGTGAGCATCCTGTGGCCCTGTCTGGGTTTTGGCGGGATGCTTTGAAACCCCGACCCTGCCCTGAAGTGCCATCGGTCCTCAGCCAGAGTCCATGAGGGCACCGCCTGCGTCTCTGTGATCAGACTCCTGTTGATGAGAGCTGGGGACAAAATGCCAGCCCTGGTTATGGGTGCTTGCTGGAGTTGCGAAGGGCCATCCCAGCAAGGGCCTGCACCAAGGTTGCTTCCTGGAAGGCCCTGTCCATCTTTCCTGCAGCACACACCGGGCTGACCCTGTGTCACGGTCATGTTCCAACTCCAGTGTGGCCTCCAGGGACTCCCCTGGCACCTCCACCCCTTAATAGATGTGCACAGCCAGGTGCCAACTACAGTCACACCCTCCTGCCCAGCCTACCTCCCAGCCTGGGGGGGTTCCTCCCTCCCACCACTCTATTTCTGCCCGCTTGGGGCTGGGTACTGTCCTTTTTCAGGATCCTGGCTCTGCCACCTGCTGCCTGGACTAAGCTGGCACTCAGTCCATGCAAAGAATGGAGGATGGTGGCCTGGGAGGTGGCAGTGACTCTCACGGAGTGTGACACTCAAGCATTCTTTAACTGTCCTCTCTCTAAGGACCTTACACATGTCGTCGTAACTCTGGATTTTTAAGAATTATGCTTTTGCATGTCGTCGTAACTCTGGATTTTTAAGAATTATGCTTTTGCCTGATCCCCCCCAAACCACCATTTATCCACAAAACTGACCATTCTAACATCTGCCTCGAATTGCTAGTGAAAGCTGCCTGTCGCTTTAAGAAAACGAACAAGCGGGATCAGCAGATGGCGTAATGGTTACGTTGCGGGACTCCCATGTGGTTGATGGCTGTTCGAGTCCTGGACCTGGTGGCTTAAAAAACTCATGCCAGGCGCATGTGTGTGCATGCCCAAACTTCCAAGAGGAGAACAGAGGAGAAGGGGTTGCGGTGTGGTCATTCCCCCCTACCCTGGGAGTGATTTCTTGCTTTTTGTCTCTCTGGTGAGCGCACGCACCCTATAGCAAAAATCTCTCTTTAAAAAAAAAAAAAAAAAAGGAAAAGAAAATGAACAAGCCAAGTGTCCAGACAATACTTGGCACTAGTTTCGTTTAGACCTGAGGTTTGGATTTAAGGACTTTGCTGACCATGTTATAGCACCCACAACCGTGACGATGGTGACAGTGACCACGACTGGACACAAGACACTGGCCCGTCCAATCCTCGGCCCTTCTCATTCCCAACTTTACAGATGAAGAAACCGAGGCTTAGAGGCAAAAACTGCTCTGCGTCCCGTGGCCAGGAGTTCAGGCTTGCAGCTCCTGCAGGGTGGGGATATCTGGGAGGATGCCCAATGGAAACTCCACTCTCCAGAATCTTTGCATGCTTCGAAGTCTGTGCCAAGGACTCAGAGGTCAGCGGGCGGAAGATGTCCAGAGCTACCTTCCACGGCCCGGGGACCCAGTGCTTCAGCCGGTGACTGTGTTTTTCAACACCAGTCTTGTGTCTTTTCTAGAATGAAATTAGGAATAATAGACACTCTGGAAGGTACCGAGGCTTAGGCCTTGCGGTGGGGGATTTGACTCTTCTGTGGAGAGAAGCCAGAGGGGGACCCCACCCCCAGCAGGGCCTGGAAGAGCCAGTGTCTCAGCAGTGGAGACTCAGCAGTTGAACCTGGCCACGATATTCCCGAGTGTGAGATAAACGGTGGTCAAGGAATGACACATTCTACTGGGGCAGTCATTAGCTCTAATGGATTCCTGGAAGCCGCTTCTAAAGAGGCTGGTTGTAACAGAACTGTCCATTTTCATAGGCACGATGCCATACTTGGGGGCTGTGCTCCTGACCCCCAAATCTGCCTCAGGTAAATAATAAATACGGCTATTAGCATGTACTCATTAATTCACTGAGCTATCGCTTGCAGCGCCTGGGAGGTCTTTGGCTTGCAGGTGGAGATGGGAGCCTACAGCTGCAGGTGCAGAGGCCAGGCAGGGGTAGCAGGGTTCTCTGGGTGCGGGGGCAGGAGGCTTCCTCCCAAGTGGGGAGAGGGATGGTCTGGCCACCCGCAGGTTATGGACCTGAGTTTAAGGCTGAGTGGGCAAATGTGGAGTCAGGGTGGGAGCCTGGGTCTCCCTCCCGGTGCCCTGCTAGGTCACCTGGGGTGACGGCCAGGGTGGTTCTCGCAGCCAGCCCAGCCCAGCAGCCCTCAGGGAGGCAGTGGAGTCTGGGTAGGAGGAGGGGCAGGAGGGTCACCTTAAGATGCCAAAAATGGGGGCCAGGAGCAGGTGGCACGGTAGTTGAGGCACTGGACTCCCACAGGGCCAACCACGATTTGAGTCCTGGACCTGGTGGCTTGTTTTCTCACTTTCTCTCTCTCTGGTGAGCACACCTGGCCTATAGCAAATTTTAACAAATAAATACAATGAAATAATTCTTTAAAAAAAAAAAAAAAGATGCTGGGACCAGCAAGCGGCGTAATGGTTATATCATTGGACTCCCACGTAGTCAACCATGGTTCAAGTCCCAGACCCAGAGGCTTGAAACTCATGTTGGGTATGCATACATGTGTGCCCAAAAATCCCAAGAGGAGAAGGGAGAAGACTCCGTGGCATGGCCATCCCTTCTAGGGGGTGATTTCTCACTTTCTGCCTCTGTGTCTGTCTCTCTGGTGAGTGTATGTGTCCTATTGCAAAAATCTATTATTAAAAAAAAAAACAAAACGCTGAAGTGTCAGCCCTCTGTAGGGGACACGTGTGGGGACAGCTCAGCTGCTGAGCCCTGAGTGGAGCCAGCTCTGGGTGGCAGAGGGGCCACCTGACCACGCGGACCCCTCCCCAGGGCCGGCTCAGCTGCCCTCTATGTCCCTAACACACCACGTGCCCCTTCCGCCCTGACAGACAGGCGGGCAGAGTGGAACCCTGACACCCCAATCACAACCACTGCAAAAGGCACGTCCTCCTTCAGGCCATGACTCTGGAAACCGTGTGAAACACACGAGCGTGAGAATGAGCAAGAGGGAGTCCTGGCACTCGCCTCCAGCCCTGCCTGGCACCCGGGCCTCACGCCTACAGCACCTCCCACTGTTCCTGCTCTGCTTACCCTGTGGGCCTGGCGCAAGGTCTCTTCTTCCCAGAAGCCCCTGCCCATCTTCCTGTAGCAGACGCCAGGCTGTGACCCTGCATCTCAGTCATGTTCCAGGCCCACAGTGTGGCCTCTGGGGGCTCCCCTGGCACCTCCACCCCTTGATAAATGTACACAGCCTGGTGCCAGCTACGGCCATGTCCTCCTCCTGCCCGCCTGCCCCCCCAGCCTGGCTCCCACCCTCCCCCACTCTCTATTTCTACCCGCTTGGTGTCTCGGGTCAGAGCTGCAGAGGGGCCTGAAGGGAGCACGGTGGAGCTGGGTGCTGTCCCCTGGCAGCCCGACTAGGGCACCTGACTGCCCACTGGCATTGTCCCCTTGTCCTTAGTGACTTCCCCGTCAGCCCAAGACAAATGCACTCCTCCTCAGACCCTGGGACGGGAGGAGCCGCCAGAGTGGCCTCTGACCCCGCCACGAGAGGATGAGCCTCTCACGGCACCTGCAGACACAGAGCAGCCGGCAGGGGAGGCCAGGCCAGGGAGCAATTGAGATCTTGTTTTTCCACCAACCACAATGGCCTTTTCTGGCAAGAAGCCCTGCGTGCCTTGATCCCTCCAGCTGTCCCTGGAGCCACGTCGTGGAGGGAACACAGCCACCATCAGCGGACTCCGATGCCAGCCCCAGGCGCCAATGCCCGCCCAGTGCTCTCCAAGGCCTGGTCCCCAGCAAGATGGCACCTCGAGGAGGGTGGAGTTGGGCTGCACATTTATGTAAATTACACGGAGAGACCATTCCTGCCAGCAGCCTGTGCAGAGGTGGGAATCTGACTGCTCAGCGGTGGGGAACCGGTGCTTTGTCACAAGGCAGGCCAGCCACTGGTAGCTGGAGGGAGTCCCTGGGGTGGCACAAAGTCATCTCTCTCTCTCACTCTTATTATTTATTTTTTTTTGGAGAGGTTTTTTGCTATAGGGCGCGTGCGCTCGCCAGACAGATAGAGAGAGACAGAGAGACAGAAAGCGAGAAATCACCCCCCAGAGGGGATGGTCACGCCTCAATCCCTTCTCCTCCATTCTCCTCTCGGGATCTTGGGCACGCATGCACATGCGCCCGGCATGAGTTTTAAGCCACCGGGTCCAGGACATGAACCACGGTCGACTACATGGGAGTCCAGCCACATAGCCATTACGCTAACTGCTGGTTCCCTCTCTCTCTTTTATGAGAGATT